CCACACAGACTCGTTGTGCCAGACAATTATTGTTCGTGAAAAAAAATTCCCAAAATTTTACACTTTTCAGGCAAAAAAAATTATTTTACATATATTCAAATAGAACTCATTCATGGCTTTGGCTGAACGTCAGAGTGTAAGAGCCCAGAGCGTAACCCCTGCACAGGCCGTGGCGGAGTAGCGCAGTTGGTAGCGTCCTCGCTTCCCATGCCAAAGGTCGCGGGATCGATCCCCGCGTCCTCCACAGGCGAATATATTTTTAAATCCTTTATATTAAGTTCGCTTGTGTGCTTAGGACCGTGCAAATCTTTCACTCGTTTTTTAACCCACTTCCCGTGATCCAATCGAGCTGACATTTTCCACACAGACTCGTTGTGCCAGACAATTATTGTTCGTGAAAAAAAATTCCCAAAATTTTACACTTTTCAGGCAAAAAACAATTATTTTACATATATTCAAATAGAACTCATTCATGGCTTTGGCTGAACGTCAGAGTGTAAGAGCCCAGAGCGTAACCCCTGCACAGGCCGTGGCGGAGTAGCGCAGTTGGTAGCGTCCTCGCTTCCCATGCCAAAGGTCGCGGGATCGATCCCCGCGTCCTCCACAGGCGAATATATTTTTAAATCCTTTATATTAAGTTCGCTTGTGTGCTTAGGACCGTGCAAATCTTTCACTCGTTTTTTAACCCACTTCCCGTGATCCAATCGAGCTGACATTTTCCACACAGACTCGTTGTGTGTGACAATTAATTTTCTTGAAAAAATCCAAAATTTTACACTGTTTAGGGAAAACAAATTAAATATTTAATTACCAATTGCTTAATGGTGGCAGACAATCATCTGACCCATAGGTGGCAGCCATCTCAAGCCAGAGGACGAGAGGACTCTAGCCGCCACGCATATAAAGGATTTATAGTGAAAAACTTTGTTTTTACGGGTTTACTTGTTTCTTCCTGATGATGAACGCTTGTGTTGCGATCGAAACGTAGTAGTTTTTTGTTATTTTTTGTTATTTTCTTTGAACCAATCTACATGACTTTACCGAAAGACCCAAGAATATGAATTACTGCAGTTACAAAAGCTTTAAGTCAAGAGGTAACGGAGATATTTAAAAATATTTGTGAAAAATTGGGAATCAGGCCCTTCAAATCTCTATACGAGGAATTTTGTAAATAAATTATCTCCTACGAGCCCTGGAGCATGTTCTCAAGTGAGGAAATTGCAGAACTCTTCCAACCAATATGTTGACCCACTTGGCCAGTCTTCTCCAAAGACCTAATGCTTTTAAGTTTAATGGACAATTGTACCAACAGATCAATTGAATCGTCATGGAAACAAAAATGGGTCCAATTTTCACCACCCTCTGTGTCTGTTGGGTGTAAAATAAAATAAAAAATACAATTATGTTTAAAGTATACAGTCCGAAAGCTTGCAATGTACTGATTGGCTGCTGCACTAGAGTCATATTTCTCATGCAGGAGGACCTCCAAATCTTCATTGCTGGAATCACCGTCACCCATTAATAGTGTTTCCAGTACACACCTCAGACACTTGCATTGCTTTTAGAATATAAAATTGTCCATCGTAGAGATCCAACGAACCACAAAGGGTCATTACAAACCAGGAGAGTCAAAACAGCCGTATTATACATATCTAAAACATACGTAAAATGCATGTTGTAACGTGATGAAGATTATAACAGTGATGATGTTAGTGATGGAGATGATGGATAATGAAGGATATCATAATGGTGATGATGATGTTTTTTTATTAATATGACGGTTAACTGATTATGAAGATCATGATGATGTGTTAGTTATAGACATGATGGATAACGGTGGAAGTGATGAAAGTGGCGATGGTGGAATGGGTTAAGATTATGTGGGTCATGGAGATTACATTTGATAATTATAATCTTGAAGGCTAAGATAGCTTACAATAGATAATAAATATGTTGTGATTTTAGTAGTGGGGGACATGGCAGCATAGACATGGAGAGATAGGGAAATAGAAACACGAAGTAGCACGAAAAAATGGGAAGAAAGAGATAAGGATTCACACAGAGAGAATGAGAGAAACAGAAAGGAATGGAGAGAGACAAATCGATGAAGAGACACTGAGAGTGATGGAAAGATTAATGGAGAAATATATGGAGTATTAACAACACGGGTATCCCTACACACTGCCTATCCCCGCCCGCTATTATTTTATTATTACTTTTGACAATCATCCAAAAGTGGCCGTTTGGCAAGCTTCGTTCGACAGGCGAGCTCAGCTTTCTACAGCAATGGCGGAGAGTGTGGGGTTATGTGCCCTCCCAGCACCCCATCCTCCAGTCCCCGAGGGAGGCGGCTTGCCCTGCTCTCTGGACCAAAAGCTGTCCACACACGACACGATGTGCCCATGCTTAATTTCTACACACAGTACTCCCAAATGTCTTCAGAATTTTTGCATACTTATTTACTTTGTCCTCTTCTGCTTATTTCCAATGCGTATACAACTGATGTTGCAAATAAAAGTCTTAATGATCTTGGTTAACATAATTTCACACCTACCTCGACGTAGCCGCTGTAATGAGGCCTAGGCATGGTGACATGTGCCTGCAATCCAGCGCTGTAAATGAATTGTTAGGTGGCCAGGAGATGGAAGTACAGAAAGTAGTCTGGTGATTAAAAATCATGTAACCTTCTGCGGCCGTCTGAAGTGCTCTTCCTATTAGGAAGCCACTGGAGCGATGCACTTTTAGATTTGGGTGGTTGGCGACGTACGGTGTGAAAGAAGTTCAACATACATACATACTTCCCTCAATTAAGCAATATCATTAAACCTATTTATATTTTGACCAAAATTCCAGGAGAAAGGTTCCTCTCCGGACTGAGCGACTCCCTTGACTAACACAATTTAATTCCACACCTTCCTCTGGGTTTATCTACGCCAAGTGGTGTGTTCACGATTCACGATCAAAATATTGGTCCTCTAGGTCGCGTTGAGGGGTCACCTCAGCCACATCATCCCTAGAGGGTGAACTAGAAACGTATACCGCTGAGAGAGTAATCAACAGAGGTTGTACTTTGCAGAAACCATACCCACCACATGAATGCAGCATTTATGCTGTCACTGGCTCAGGGCAGCCAAAGCGGATGAGCACCAGCACCTACTTTTTGATCTTGCTGACATTTGGACTTTGATGGTTGTATTATTAGCTTCGTGTAATAATGAACGACCAAGAGATAGCTTTATCCCTTTGCATGCAGATGAAAAGTGAGCATTCTTACATTTCAGCCAATAGCACATCATCACAAGGACTTTGTGAGCACAATGTATGCCTTGCCAGAAAGCCACTTCGCTTTTCAGAGTGTTTACAGCGGATAATTAACAAAGGCAAACATTAAAGACAACTGCAAATACATATCCATAATGCTGCTTTTAAATGTACATTTTTGGCAATAGTTTCCTTCATTAAATAAAAAAAACCTAAAAAACAGCTTAAATATACGGTGTCCGTGTGCAAACCCTTTTAGTAATATTAATGAATAATGTTTAATTGAAAAGTTTTTGTACATGTGAGCAATATATTTCTCCGGGCGATGAAAAGTTCAATCGGTGCAAGCTTCAGTGTGTTTCATGCTCGGCCTACTTACAACACAGCACCTCCGGCGACATTTATGTTTGACCCAGTGAGCTTTAGACAAGGGGCTACCATGTTCGTATTTTGAACCTGCTAACCAGTGTTGTACTACATACCTCACGGTTGTAGATTACAACAAAAACCACAGAACCTAACAACACTATCCAGTACTTTACTTGTAATATTGCTCTGCTTATCTGTACCTAAGACTGCGATAAATACTCGACATTCTCTCAACACAGGTATCATACATAGACAATACAATTTTGGATTTGCAAATTATATGAATGCAACGGCATATCATGACGTAGTAAAATAATAAGCATTCATCATGACGATGTTAATACAGTAATGTGGCTTAGAATAAACTAAACCATTTTTTTTTTATTTTACGAGGTAGGGTCCACTGAGCTACATAGCTCTTTTTCAGAAGCGACCTGGACACAAGTAATAGCTCAATGAAGTGGCTTATCACGTGGAAAATCATTGCAGCCGAATACTCTAAATGCATGTTTCTAAATGTGGGAGGGAAATCCGTAGGACCCAGAGAAAGATCCACATGACGATGGGGAGAGAGATATGCAAACTCAAAATATACAGGAGGCAAGGTAAGGATCGAACCCATGACCTCTTGTATACCAGGCGAGGTCATTAACATCTCGCCACCTTGGCTTAGTGGAGAGGGCACCTGAAAAGTTCTTCTGAAAAGAACGACTGGAATAGAAGCACTGCATGATAATTATGTTAATTATGAATCCCGTCATTTATTTGCTAACGACCAATTATAAGACACTGCCATGTAGTCAAACCTTGTGCCTCAAGACATGGCGAGTTCCCACGATGCATTTAGTACACAACGCTGTGGGAAGCTGAGGGGGCGGGGACACTATTCCATGTTGTGCATTTTTAATTACTGTTCTCGAAAAATGTTATTGCAGTAATTGGAAACTATAATTTGCGGAATTTAAATTGAATGCAATTAAAATGAAACTGTTAGTTCATAATACTCTAAGATATCTGCATGTTATATAATGGATACAACGACAGTGCATAACTATTTCAAATTCACCACGGTCTCACAGTACCTAGAAGAAAATACTCAATTATAATTTATTGCCATACTCTGCTGAAAACAACTAGAATGCTCAAGTGGGAGACGTGGAAACCTTAATGTTTAAAAATGCACATGTATTTCAGGAAGCAGTGGCTCATTGTTGGGCCTGAGCTGTGTACACACTCTAAATAAAATTTATAAATCCTGGAAAACATGACAAAATCAATTTAATATCAGATATAACAATTATTTTAAATGTCATGATTCACTATTTAGTGACAGTGGCTTTTGCTGCGATTAGCCCGACCATCGCTCGTACCTGTTGCAGTGGCCACATCGGTGAACGTTCCGTCTCCATTGTTCTTGAACAGGAAGTTGGGACCGTGCTCGTTGTCACAGAAGATGTCCGAGATGTTGGTGTTCATGATTGGACCAACAGTCACTCCACGGCCACCTGTCAACAACAAAGATTTTTTTTTTAATGTTTCACGAAATATTCTCTATCCACTGCTGAATGAAGGCCCCCAAGGTTGTTGGTGCTTTGCTTCCATTGCTGCATCGGTGCAATCCAATAACACTGTTCATACCCTGGCAAAATGCAATCAAATCTCAATAACATTAATTCAGTTTAATTCAACTCAGGACTGTTGAATATTTCAGACAGAGATTTATTTTACTACTACTACTACAAAATAAGCAGAGCCTGCTGCATATTACACGTGCAGGGTACATTGGATTACGAGAGCACAGCAGGGTTTCCTGTCACCCACACCGGCGCCTTCAGGAGAAGAATGCATCAGGACATGAGACCTTCAATGGCGAGTGCCGTTTTTTTTAATGTTTCACGTTTCTATTTTGAGCCACCAGGGTCACACTTACTCCCAAGAGGAGTGTCCACCTCACCCCTGTGATAAATGTGTAAAACTTGTACTGTTTTGACTTAAAGCTTTCGTGACTGCAGGAATTAATATTCTTTGGGTCTTTCGGTAAAGTCACGTAAATAGGTTCAAATAAAAACTAAAGTTATTTTCTTTGAACCTATCTAAATCATATTTTTTTTGTTATTTTCTTTGAACCTATCTATATGACTTTACCGAAAGACCCAACGAATACTTGTACTGCCATTCTTAAAATGAAACGTAAAAGTTGATGCCTAAAAAAGTGGAACGAATGCTTTTATTCCAAATGTCGGTACTGTCCACCCAGAGCCGTGACACAGGAGAGCATCGAGTCCAGGGTGCCACAGTGGTGGGATTTTAACTACTTCGCCTGGTATACAAGGAGTTGGTGGGTTCGATCCTAATTCTCATGCCTGTATAATTGGAGTTGGCATGTTTTCCCCATGGTCGCGTGGATTTTTCTCTGGGTCCTCCAGTTTTTCCCTTCACATTTAGAAACATGCGTTCAGACTATTTGGCTGCTGTAAATTTCCACATGATAAGTCACTTCGAGAACTATCATTTGTGGCCAAATCCCTTCTGAAAAAAAGCTATACAGTGGGAGAAAAAATAATTTGATCCCCTGCTGATTTTGTACGTTTGCCCACTGACAAAGAAATGATCAGTCTATAATTTTAATGGTATGTTTATTTGAACAGTGAGAGACAGAATAACAACAACAAAATCCAGAAACACGCATTTCCAAAATGTTATAAATTGATTTGCATTTTAATGAGGGAAATAAGTATTTGACCCCTATGCAAAACATGACTTAGTACTTGGTGGAAAACCCCTTGTTGGCAATCACAGAGGTCAGACGTTTCTTATAGTTGGCCACCAGGTTTGCACACATCTCAGGAGGGATTTTGTCCCACTCCTCTTTGTAGATCTTCTCCAAGTAATTAAGGTTTCGAGGCTGACGTTTGGCAACTCGAACCTTCAGGTCCCTCCACAGATTTTCTATTGGATTAAGGTCTGGAGACTGGCTAGGCCACTCCAGGACCTTAATGTGTTTCTTCTTGAGCCACTCCTTTGTTGCCTTGGCCGTGTGTTTTGGGTCATTGTCATGCTGGAATACCCATCCACGACCCATTTTCAATGCCCTGGCTGAGGGAAGGAGGTTCTCACCCAAGATTTGACGGTACATGGCCCCGTCCATCGTCCCTTTGATGCGGTGAAGTTGTCCTGTCCTCTTAGCAGAAAAACACCCCCAAAGCATAATTTTCCACCTCCATGTTTGACGGTGGGGATGGTGTTCTTGGGGTCATAGGCAGCATTCCTCCTCCTCCAAACACCGCGAGTTGAGTTGATGCCAAAGAGCTCCATTTTGGTCTCATCTGACCACAACACTTTCACCCAGTTGCCCTCTGAATCATTCAGATGTTCATTCGCAAACTTCAGACGGGCATGTATATGTGCTTTCTTGAGCAGGGGAACCTTGCGGGCGCTGCAGGATTTAAGTCCTTCACGGCGTAGTGTGTTACCAACTGTTTTCTTGGTGACTATGGTCCCAGCTGCCTTGAGATCATTGACAAGATCCTGCCGTGTAGTTCTGGGCTGATTCCTCACCGTTCTCATGATCATTGCAACTCCACTAGGTGAGATCTTGCATGGAGCCGCAGGCCGAGGGAGATTGACAGTTCTTTTGTGTTTCTTCCATTTGTGAATAATCGCACCAACTGTTGTCACCTTCTCACCAAGCTGCTTGGTGATGGTCTTGGAGCCCATTCCAGCCTTGTGTAGGTCTACAATCTTGTCCCTGACATTCTTGGAGAGCTCTTTGGTCTTGGCCATGGTGGAGAGTTTTGAATCTGATTGATTGATTGCTTCTGTGAACAGGTGTCCTTTATACAGGTGTAATAACAGCCATAGAGGGTTCACGTGGGGATTGGCTTGCCGGTCCTGCCTTGTAGCCAATAAGGGTTGAGATAGGGAGCATGACCCCGGCGTGATCACGGCATGTCATCAGGAGTGATTGGCCTAGCCATTCGGGGCCCCAGCTAATGGGGATCCGGATGAGAGGCGTGGTCCCGGGATTGACAGGGAACCATCGAGAATGGTCAAGACTGTCCATGGAGGATTGGCTGGGGGGACCACGTGACGAAGGGATTAAGAGAGAGTGAGAGAGAACGATCGGGAGCAGACTGGGGAACGAACAGAGCGAGAGCCACGCGTGTACGGGGGCTCTGGGTGCCACGTGCGCGGTGGGAACTGGTGTGAAGTCTGCCCGCTCTCTGCTGTCTGCCAACAACGGAGCGTGAGTGAATAAAGTGTATCGTGGAGGTGAAAATAAAGAGGACCGATTCCGAAGCCGTCTCAGAAGGATTATTACACAGGTAACAAGCTGAGATTAGGAGCACTGCCTTTAAGAGTGTGCTCCTTACCTGTATAAAAGACACCTGGGAGCCAGAAATATTTCTGATTGAGAGGGGGTCAAATACTTATTTCCCTAATTAAAATGCAAATCAATTTATAACATTTTGACATGCGTTTTTCTGGATTTTGTTGCTGTTATTCTGTCTCTCACCGTTCAAATAAACCTACCATTAAAATTATAGACTGATAATTTCTTTGTCAGTGGGCACATGTACAAAATCAGCAGGGGATCAAATACTTTTTTCCCCTCACTGTATATAGCTCAGTGGGCCTTACCTGATACAAAAAAAATGTGTTTATAGTTTAAATGGTTTCGCTTGATTCCGGACTGATTATCCAAACATATCCAACAATGAATACTTATTAACTGCATGCCTAGTGTGGACCCCCAGGCATGTAGTGATGTATAAATGAATCAATTAATCAATTTAAATGGATTTCTACATTGAAGGGACACACATCAGATGGATGAAGAAATTTGTTGTTCGGACTCGGTTTTAATATTATTATTATGATTATGCATGTTTACCCACAAAGGCCTCCTTGAGTCTCAAGACTCTGTTTCAGGAGAGTACTGCTAAGTTTTCACGGTATGGAGTGATTATGTTATGTGTCATCTAAATTGGATAATTTGCTGGAAATATTTAATAATTTGGATGTTTTTGGCCAATACCAGTTGCATTGTTTGTTTTTAGCGACTGTTGAACTCCAGTGAAGAATATACAGTACTGCAATATATAATTACATATACTTAATCGATAGATGCTTTCCAACCTGTGGTCTACATACCCCCGAGGGGGATTATGTGCCATCGCTTGAGGGCAGGTGAGACACATTTTTTTGTACCGACGGTGGCCACGGGAGTCACCCAGCGGTCCTGGTCTGCGTGTGCATACTAGAAGAACATTATAAAAGCTACACACTTATCTGTGGATGACATTTGGTAAACTTATGCCCTTGGGACTCATCCACATGCTCCATTATGTATGTTCATCTCTTGTTTATCACACCGATTTTACTTTTGCTTGACTAATGAACAACAAAAACTAAGTGTTAAACAGCTGTCTTAGGTGTTAATTAGGTGGATATGTAATTAAAAAGCACTGTAGTAATTTTACAAAGAATTAAATAAATAAAATCTATATGCTGGTAGATGTACGTGGACAGTTGATACGTCTGATAGAGGGTACACGAGAGGCAATAAATAGGCCAGGAGCCACTGGTCTAGATGAATTCCTTAATAATGTAATAATTTGTGTGATGTTACTTGCACGGTTTGCATTGTAAAACTTGAACCATACATTATAATTCAAGAACCAGCTCCCATGAGCGCATATTTCATCTGCCGCGTGTCAGACACACGAACGCAAACGCACTGCATCTTCATAAATGGTCCAGTATGTTACGCTGTCACACAAAAAGAAAACACTTGCCTTTTTTGTTTGTTTGCAAACTTAACATTTTTGTAGGTAAACAAGTAATACAATGGGCGATTATTTCATTCCTCACGTTTGGTCTCTCACTCATTTAACAAAAGAAAGTAATAATATCCATCATCGGGCAACCCAAAACACAATTGAGTTTTCATTAAATTTGAAAACAAAAACGCCACTGAGCCACGGAAAAATCGGCAGTTAATATCTAGTCCTGTGAATGATAAAATATCTCTGAAACACCACGTAACCATCTCCATACAAATCAACAAGCACACACACCACGTTGCCCCGGTGTGCACGAGCTACATTTGCTCAACACATCCAATTCCCGCACGTATTGTGACAGCCTTTTACATTGTGATGAGGGAGGGATTCTGGTGAGGATGTGGGTTATTGTTGAGGTTGTGAGTAGCTGTCAAGGCCATGGGTTAGTGTCAAGGCTGTGGGTTATTGTCGAGGCTGTGAGTCATTGTCAAGGCCGTGTGTTATTGTGAAGGCTGTGAGTTATGATTAAAGCTGTGAGTTATTGTAAGAATGTGTGTTATTGTCAAGACTGTGAGTTATTGTAAAAGCTGTGAGTTATTGTGAAGGCGGTGTGTTATTGTCAAGACTGTGAGTTATTGTAAGCCTGCGAGTTATGGTAAAGACTGTGAGTTATAGTCAAGGCTGTGAGTTATTGTTAGGCTTTGGGTTATTGTTAGACTTTGGGTTATTCTCAAGGCGGTGAGTTCGTGTTGACTCTGCATGGATGTCTAATTGTGCCGTCAGTTGTGAGGTCCGGTAACAGTGTGTTGATGTTAATGAGTTGATGTTCATGAGTTGGGGACAGTGTGAGGTCCCCAGTCTCTGATCAGAATCCTCTGGTACACACACTCACGAGTAAAACATGGTACATAAAGAGACAGGCGGCTCTAAGTAGGTAACACTGGATAGCTGCGACAATGTGACCAAACGGAGATGAGTTGGTGTACCTGTGAACTTGTTGACTCCGGCCTCCTTGGCCACTTCAGAAAGGATGACAATCCCTCGAGCGACATCGCTGGCCGCCTCGTCCATCTCGATGACAGCGTGTGGGCCCACGCCGTCCTTCGCGTAGTTTGCCACGTAAACCGAGTAGCGGCCCGTTCCCTGGCAGAGGCACGCGACGCGGCTCGGTGAGTACGTACGTATGTTGAACTTCTCTTGTACAGTACGCAGCCAACCGTGCTAATCGAAATTGTCACTCTCCCAATACAGTATACCACATGGTATTTTTTCATTGTTACTTTGTTATTAATATTATTATTCCACTTGTTTACCAAGGAAAGTATCCCTGAGTTTCAAGAGGGAGGGTCCTACTAAGCTTTTGCAGTAGGGGTCAATGATTGCTATGTTTCCCAATTAAGGCGTTTGAGGTGTAATTTTCCAAATTTGGCAAAGGTTGGAGATGAACGATGGAAACCCTTGTATGGCCCTCGCTCCTGTTGAGTATTATTTTTTAACAAGATATCGTTAATATGCTACTAGAATGAAAACATCAATTGCCATTTTGATTTAAAAAGCATCTAAATGCAACCACATCTCAAGATGTTGTAAAAACACTGGGACATGCATCACGAGGTGCAACGAGGGATGTATGAGGGGCAATATAAATAATACTACGACTATTACCAGGTAAGGCCCCACTGAGTTATATAGCTTTCTTCAGAGGCGACCTGGCCATCACAAATTATAGCTCAATGAAGTCGCTTATCATCATGTGAAAATTTATAGCAGCCAAATCCTCTAAATGCACATTTCTCAAATGTGCAGAAAAATCGACAACCACTCCAAATATACAGGCGTTGGTGTCGGGATCGAACCCACTACCTCCTACATACCAGGTTAGGGAGTTAACATTTCGCCACCGCTGCACCCATGTCATTTACCCGATTAAGGAGGAGTGGAGCTCGGTAGATGGACAAGCTTAGCATTGACAACACTAACAAACAGACGGCTAAATCTTGACTTAAAGCTTTCGTGACTGCAGGAATTCTATTCTTTGGGCCATTCGGTAAAGTCACGTAGATAGGTTCAAAGAAAATAACAAAAAACTACGATATTTCGATCGCAACGCATCAGGAATGACTGCTTATTTTGCGATTGAAACGTCATAGTTTTTGGTTATTTTCTTTGAACCTATCTGCGTGACTTTACCAAAAGACCCAAAGAAAACAGACAGCTTTCACAAAAAAAAAGGTATCAAAAGAATCACAACCTTATCCAAGAATGCTGAAACTCAGCTGCAATAACTGGACACTGTCCACTTTGCACCTAAACAATTCAAAAGCAAAAGTCAAATTCAGTATAAACGTCTGCTCTCAGTCACAAAAGACAAAAAACATGTTACCTTGGTGTCGCTCTCGATCAAAGCTCACGTTCATGGAATAACTAAAGCAGTGAGCAAATAAACTAAATGCCACATTGATGTGATACAAATATTAGCTTGAACTTTCTGGGGATATCATACCAAACCCTTTAAACTGCACCACTGGCCTGTGTTTACTATATATCTGTAATAAAGGACTCGACCACGATGTCTGGCTTGGTGTCCTTTATTCGGTTCTTCTCTCTTAACCCGCACGGCTGTCCTTCTATAAGACTCTATACTGACACTGATACTGCTCTCCCGCAGTTTCTCCCCTCGTCGTTCTCTCAGCCTCTCTCTCCTCTCGTCGCTCTCGTAGCCTCCCCCTCACACACAGCCTCGCCGGCTGTGTTCCCCGCAGCTCCTCGTCCGCCTTCTCTCCAGCCGCCCCACCGCTGTCTTCTCTCGCAGCTCCGCTGGCTGCTCCCTTAGCTGGCCACCGCTGGCCGCCGCTGCCACCCCTTGGCTTTGCCCACGTGGCCTTACTCTGGTCCAGTCCCACTCGTTCTGCCTTCCTCTTCCGGTCTCCTCCCTTAAGAACCTTAACCTTTCCTCCCACGTCACCTAACTCCACCTCTCCGTGACGTCACATCCGGGAGGTCGCCCGCGCCCGCATTACACCACCCTCCCCCGTGGAGAAAAACCCAGCCGACCTCGGCTGAACAACACCAACAGTAATGCGGGCGAACCCGAGCGTAACACACCAAAGGACACCAAGCATGCAATATAACAGTAAGAACAATCAACACAACTCAACAATCAATAACGTAGCAGAAGCAGGCAATAAATACACAGTAAGAACAATACAACATAACAATCAACGAAACACAAGGGATTTAGAGCGTGTGCGGGTCGCCGGCCCGTCCCGGACGGTCGGCGGCCCATCCGCGGAACGGGAACGTGATTGAGTTTGAGGAGCGACAGGGTGAAATCCCCCTGTCGCTGTTGGAAGTCCACCAACGTCCCGTGTCCTTGAAGGATCAGTTTTGGGCTTGTCCCGCGGATGCGTCTGCAGCGGGGTCGGAAGGGCTGCAGGGCTCGAAGGACCCGCAGATCTGGCAGGCACCCTCCGAGCAGAGCGCCTCGTCCCCTCCGGTGTCAAGGCCGGCCTGCCTGGAACAGGTACGACAGGCGCTCTAGCAAGATCAATGGACGCAGGCGGGGGAGAGTCGGCAGCAACAGACCCCGGCAAGGCAACATTGGGAGATGATGCATCATGTAGGGGAGCAACATACGGTTTCAAGCGCGACGTGTGAACAAACCAGCGGCGAGAACCAATTTGAACACGCGCCGACTGAGGATTAGGAACCTCAATGAGGCGGACAGGCCCTCGCCAAGGTTTGTGAAATTTGGGAGAGGTACCCGGCCGCACCTGCGGGCAATGGAGCCAGGCCAGGTCCCCAACCTTCCAGGGGCACTCCCCTTTGGAACGCCGTGCGTACCTCTCATTTCGGGCCTGAGCTTTGGCCGTAGCCACACGGGCACTCTCCCGCGCCTCCGAGACCCGGCGAACAGTGTCCCGAATGTAGTCAGGAAGCGGTTTACAAGGTCCCCTCACACCGGTTCCCATCTGCACATCCATTGGCGGCACGTTTTCCCGACCATACATAAGGTAAAATGGCGAATAACCCGTAGCCGCATGAGGAGTCATCCTGTACGCCGAAAGCACCCCCGGGATGTGCAGGTCCCAATCCGATTGTTGCTCACTCACCGTGTGGCACAGCATGGCAGACAATGTCCGGTTTAGCCGCTCAACCATACCATCCGTTTACGGATGGTATGGGGATGTCCGGACCTTCTTAGTCCCTAGGCCCGCGCATACTTCCGCCAATAATTTCGAAGAAAAATTTCGGCCCTGATCCGTAAGGAGTCTCTCCGGCGCACCCTTGTCCATAACATATCCGAACAAAAAGGCGTCGGTAATGGCCGCGGCCGATTGATCGGGCAACGGCCAGGCCATCGGCCAACGGGAGAGGTACTCAACCCCGACCAGCAAATATTTATTACCCCTCGCCGAAGGTGGGAAAGGTCCCAAAATGTCCAGTGCCACCAATTCATTGACCCGAGACACCCGAATTGACTGTAAGGGTGGCACATAAGGATGTTTAGGAGGCTTACGCCGGGCACAGTCAGGGCACGCGCGGACGTGCCCCACGACATCCGTCGACATGCCGTGCCAAAAATAATGACGTTGCAACGTCAACAAGGTCTTCTGCACACCCAGATGTAATAGCGTGTCACAATGGAGAGTTCTAATCAACTCGTATCGGAGGGACGCAGGCACCACTAGACGCCAGTGTTCCTGGAGACTTTCCCTCCACATAAGCAGACCATCTCGGACCGCGGTTTCCGGCGCACCCTCCGTAACCGGACCCCCAACCTCCACTTTGGATCGCTTCCGCAAGGACACTAACGACTCATCCATCATTTGCTCCCTTATCCAAACAGACCGTGGCAGATTCAAAACCCCATCAGTCGGCCCCGGTTCCACAGTAGCATCCGACTTCTCCACAGCCAATACCACCGGCTGAGGGGGGGGTAGGCTGGGCGCACATCTCTGCGTCCCCGACGCACATTTGCAAGGGGAGCGCTGCGGCAACCTAGAAAGTGCGTCTGCGTTCGCATGGCGCACCCCTTTACGATGGTGAATTTGAAATGAAAATTCTTGCAGCGTGTCCAACCAACGCGACAGCTGGCCGGAAGGTTGATCCATTTTAAGGGCATATTGCAAGGCCGCATGATCCGTACGTACGATAAAGGAACGGCCGTACAGGTACGGTCGAAACTGACGTAGGAAAAAAACAACGGCTAAGAGTTCCCTGCGAGTGACACAGTAGCGTGTTTCCGCGGGCGACAGGACCCGGCTACCATACGCAACGACGCGCTCTACGCCCCCTTTAGACTGAGACAACACCGCGCCAATACCTGTGTCGCTCGCATCCGTATCAAGAATGAACGGTTGATTGAAATCCGGATAATCCAATGTTGGGGCGGTAGCCAACAGATTACGCAGACTCTGAAAGGCCGCCTCTTCCGGCGGTCCCCACGCAAACTTACGTCCCTTACCCGTAAGGAGGTGCAAGGGCCTCGCGATGGTCGCAAAATTCGGTACAAATCTTCGATAATACGAGGCAAATCCCAGAAAGCGACGTACATCCCCCACGGTGACCGGAGTCGGCCAATCTCGGACGCACGCCGTTTTTTCCGGGTCCGTAGACACCCCCTCAGCACTCACGATGTGCCCCAAATAACGGACGGACCGTTGCAGTAGGTGACATTTCTTTGGTTTAAATTTCAAGTTCGCGGAGCGCATCCTCGCGAACACCGTCTCCAGCCGCCTTAAATGTTCATCAAATGTGCGGCTGAAGACGATGATATCGTCCAAATATATGAGACATGTCTCCCACTGCAACCCCGTCAAAACGAGTTCCATGAGTCTTTGAAATGTGGCAGGGGCCGCATTCAGCCCCATCGGAAGGCAGTTAAATTGAAACAACCCCTGCGGCGTACGGAATGCGGTCTTCTCCCGTGAGGGCTCGTCAAGGGGAAGCTGCCAAAATCCCGAAGAGAGGTCCAGTGTAGAGAAATACTTAGCCCCCGACAATGCGTCGAGGGAGTCGTCCATACGCGGCAGGGGATACGCATCTGCCACCGATATCTTATTCAATTTTCGAAAGTCAACACAGAATCGCAATTTGCCATCCTTTTTCTTAACCAAAACCACAGGCGCGCCCCATGGGCT